GGAAGACCAGTGCTGGGAACTACACATTGCAGCTGCTGGCTGTGGGAAACCACGCCTCGGAAAGCAATCTCAGTTGGCGGCGCGCGCAGGGGGGTAGTGAGAGGGGGGGAGGCTTCTTAGGAGGCTGCTCCTTAGAAGGGGCTGGCCCTGCATCTGCAGACAGGGGCCGCGCCCTCTAAGAGGCAGGGGTGTTTCTGAGACGCCTTCCCCCCTCCCCCTGCCCCCTTCTCGGCGCGTGGCCGGATGCGCGTGCCCCCCTCTTTGCGTCTCGCTTCCTCCCCGCGCCCGCGTGGCTCGACGATGGGCTCCGGGCCTCTGGGCGGCACGCCCGGGGGCCACACCTGGGGGGGCTACCCGTGGGGGCTGATCTTGGGGCTCTTGGGACTGCACTCGGGGGCCACACTCGGGGCCTACAAGGGAGGGCTGTTCGCCCGCGCCGCCACCCCCTCCACTCCTGTCCGCAAGTGCGGGGTGCTGCAAGCTGCCTCGCGAACCCCATCGCGAGCCGAAAACGCGACGGGCCCGGGAGCCGCGAGGAGAGGCCGTGGAGCACACGCGCGCGGGAACAATCTTCGACGTCGGCGGCGCAGAAAGCGGTGAGATCGGGGAACACGACTCGGGGGCCAGGCCATGCATGCCGATCACCAGTCCCCAGCTTGATTGGGATCGACCCATGCCTCGGCATGTGCTGGCCTCCAGGCCTGGGGCACGCTTGCCCCCGACATGCCGACCACAATTTCCCCCGCACGGTGGAGACCGGCGCTTCGGCCCGCGCTGGCATCCAGGCACGAGCGACGCCGGGCGACCGAGTCTCCATCGGCCGCGTCACGCGTGACCGCCGAGGCCTGAAGGAGGAGGAGGAGGAGGAGGAGGAGGAGGAGAAGGAGGAGGAGGAGGAGGAGGAGGAGGAGGAGGGGGAGGCCGTCGGTACCTTTTGCTGGCGGCACGGGTGGAGTGCCACAGGACGCCGTGCGGCGGCGCGTGCACGGCGCGCGGAAAAAGCGCAGGGCGCGGCGCGTCGTGCCGAGCTGTGAGCGCGCGCCCGCTGCTTGGCAGACGGCTGCGAGCAGGCTGCGCCGCCCGCTGCGTGCGCGGGGGGTCGGTCGGCGCTCCGAGGGCGGGGGACGGACCGTTGTGAGGAAAATCCTGGAGGTCCCGCGCGGCAACTCGAGACACAGTAGAGGAGGAGGAGGAGGAGGAGGAGGAGGAGGAGGAGGAGGAGGAGGAGGAGGAGGAGGAAGAGACAGGGGAACGCCACGAGCTATATAACTAACTACGCCCCTCTGCCCTGCCGATGCCAAGTACCTCGGCAGAGGGAGGAGAATGAAGAGGAGGGGGAGGATCGAGGAATCCCCAAAACTACGCAGAGCCCCATTCGGGGTCTCTCCGAGAGAGCTCGGGGTCCGCCTACGCCTCCGTCGAGCTATCGGGCGCGCCTCTTCGCGCCTCGCCAGCCGTCCGAGCTCCCGAACAGGCTCGGCAGGCTGTACTCCCCGGGTCCTGGACCAGGCTTGGCCGCCTGCACGCGGCGCAGGTTTATACATACACGGGCACCCGCCCGCGGGTGGGCGGCTCTCGGTGGGCGGCTGTCGGTGGGCGCCCCCGCTCTCTCTTTGTTTGTTTTCTCTATCTCACTCTCTCTCTCTGTCTCTTGTTTTTGCTAATGCTGATGTTTTTTTTTCTCGGCCGTTATGAGGACGTGCTGTGGCCCTCTGGAATCGTCGAGGGGCCCTCCCAGGCCGTAGAGGGTACCTCCGAAGGCCCGCCTGGGTCATCCTGAGCCCCTCGTGCGCCGTCCTGGGGCAATCGTGGAGACCTCCTAGACCATTTCGAGCGCACGGATGACCGAAATAGCGAGGATGCCGCAACCCTTCCAACACGCAAGGGCAATCAATGAGTTAGCCTCTTAGGGCACTCTTGCGAAACTGCGGCCGGGTATGGTGCTTGCAAAACTGTTGGACCATCCACTGCTTGTTTTTTTTCTCCGGTGTAGTTTTATATATATATATATACACTCAGACACCCGCCCGCGAGTTGTTCCCAGTACCTTCGTAGGAGCGGTGGCGGTGTAAAAGATCGGTAGCTCTCAGTGGCGACCTGCTCGCCGCAACCCTGCTCTGAGGCCCAGGAGCAGTCCACTGGGCCAGAGCACGCAACGCACGAACGAACGAACGAACGAACGAACGCCAGATCCGTGCGCACGCCGCGTGGCGGTGGAGGCCGTAGCCTCGAAGCGGGAATCACATCTGGTGTATCTGGAGAGAACATGCAATGCGATACATATATATATATATATATATATAAAAAGGCAACGGCACCGGAAACATGAATCGTCAGAGCTCCGCGCGGATATTGTGGCTCGGCGCTAGACGCCCCTCCCTGGCGCGCGGAGAGCGCCAGGAGCAACGCCCGAGGCGCCGCCAAGGAAGCCCAACGCCAAACCCGAACATTCCGCGCAGAGCTCCGAACGTTTCAGTTATGTTTACTGCGATGTTCGGCGGCAAGCCCAAGGGGAAGCCAGAGGGGTCAGGCCTTCTTGCAAGGCGGCGAGACTTCTCAGAAGCCCTCTGGCCTTCTGAGGAGCCGTCTCCGTCTTGGGACAAGGCTCAGAAAACCTCTAAGAAGGCCGGAAGCCTTCGCGAGCTTTCTAGAAAGGCCCGCCCCCTCTGACTTCCCCCCTAGCCTCGCCGTTGATTTTTGCCTCTGCCACAGGAGCAGTCCACTGGGCGGTGCGTGTGCGTGCGAATTTGCTGCGGCGGGGCCTGCGTGACCCTTGCGGCCCTCGGCACGGTGTACCGCGGCGACAGGATCTTCTTGTGGCTCAGGAGGCTCAGCTGCCCCTCGTGGTCATCCGCCACCGTGCCGCGAGGCACGGCCTGGAGTGCCGATGCATGGAACGAAGCAGGCGTCTGGGTGGCCGATCCCCGTACGTATCATCAACATGGGATTGAACTGGCCGGCCATGGCTACTCAGGAACGAGCCGCGCGGAGGAGGAGGAGGAGGAGGAGGAGGAGGAGGAGGAGGAGAAGGAGGAGGGCCGCGCGCCGCGCCAGCACGAGCCGGGGGCCACCCTTCCGCCCGCATCCGTGTGTCCGAGTTCTGGGCAGGGGGCGACCGTCCCGGCATTCCTGTAGGCCTACCACGACATGCTCTTAGGGCAGTCGAATGTCCTGAGGCCAACAGCAACGTTCTGAGAGCATAACGAGGCTCTTGGAACATACGCTGGTGGGACTACAGGCAAGCCAAGACGCTCCATCACTGCTTGATTGTAGTCCTCAGTCCCCAGTCCTCAGGATTGGAAATTACGGGGCCCCTGTCCCAAATCCTCGAACAACTTCTTCTGGGGCTCCCTGTGTGCCTCCCGCGGCTCACCAGCGCTTCCCGCAGGGTCTGTTCGGAGCCGCGAGCGCCCCAAAACCGGCCGAGAGGGCCCCGAGAGACCTCTGACCTACGGCCCAGGCGCAGCGGCGGGTTGGACCGAAGGCCAGCATACCCGCCGCCCTCTGTGGCTTGCCACAGGGGCGCAAGGCGTGCTGGACGCTGAGTTGCTCTGGCCCATCTTGGAAGCTCCTGGTGGGGTCTCGAGCGACCCCGCCGGCCACCCGGAACGCTCTTCGGGGGTGGGAGGCAACGCGTTCTCTCTTCTCCAGGTGTCCCCAAGAATGCCTCCGAGACGTCCAAGATGGCCTCCAAGACAGCCTGGATGGCTCAAGATGGCCTCCAAGATAGTTCCAAGATGCCTCCAAGACGGCCGAGATGGCCCCAAGACGGCACAAGAAGCCCTCCAGACGTCCCTAAGAAGCCCCCGAAACGTCTCAAGAGGGTTCTAAGCGAACCTCCAGGAGGCCAAAATAATATATTGTCCAGACGTCTTTCAATCATTTCGCGTTCTCGCCTTTTCGGGCTTCCGACGCTTGAAGACGTCCCCACAGGCGCCCCAGGCGGCCCCCAAGAGGCCCCAGGCGGCCCCCAGGCGGCCCCGGGCTCCCAGAAGCCCCCACGAGGCCCAAAGAGGGCGTCAAGAAGCTTCCTCCTCCTCCTCCTCCTTCTCCTCCTGATTCACCTCCTTCTCCTCCTGATTCACCTCCTCCTCCTCCTCCTTCTCCTCCTGATTCACCTCCCTCTCCTCTTCCTTCCCCTTCCTCTCCCAAGTGCTCCCCCCGGGGCTCCACAGCGGCCGGCGGGGACAGACCTTCGGCCCAAAGCTTGGCCAGACAGCGGCCCCACGCCTGGCCGCGTGGGCACTCCCAACAAGGCAGGGGGTCGACGGCGACTCGCCGCAGGCGTCTTCGATACTGACCAGGGCCGGGGACGCCCGGGAGGTTCGTCCCCTCGTGGCGCGCAGCCTGCCGCCGGGCGCCGTGTCCGGCGTCGCGCCGGGCGTCTGGAGGGCCGTCGGAGGGGAAGCGGCTGCCCCAGGAGAACGTGAAGGAGGGCGAGGATGCCGATCCGGTCAGCATGCCTTCTGCGGCAACTCAGGGGGGCCTCCAGTGCCATCTTGCTGGCTCTTGCGACTCGACGCCAAGCGACGCGCCGCGGCGCGAAATCGACGCGACTCGACGCTGACTTGGAGCTGGAGCTGCCCCACCCATCAGCCAACGCCGATCGACGCGAGTGCGCTCTAGAGACGGAATTGCGAAGGTACACGGGGCTCCCCTGATTTGCTGCCGACCGTGCCCTTGGGCAGCTCGTCCCTCGAGAGCGGGAAGTCCCTCTCGGTGCGGTAGGTGCAAGGATCGATGCCGTCCGCCGCTGTCGGCTGGTCCTTGGCCTTGTGGGCGCGAGGGATGGTCCACTGCGGCATGGCGTCGTGGTTGCCCCACCTGTCCAGCGCGGCACTGGGCATGGTGTTCTCGGCGCGGACGAAGGCGGAAGGACAGAGATGGGGTGGCCGCGAATCAGCTGCATGTGCAACTGATTTCCCCGGCGCCTCGCAGCGCTGGGGAGGCCGTGTATCGAAAAGAAGGCCTGGCGGCGGAGCTGAAACCAGCTGCCTTCTCCAATCCCCCCCTTTCGTACGACACAACTCAGAGGAACCAGAAGATACTGAATCCGCAACTCCCCGGACCTTTCCCGCGGTGCGAGCTGACTCAGAGTCCGAGGCGAATCCGACCGCAGTGGTGAAGGCCCCGCAAAGAGGCATCGAAAATGCTGAAAAGATGGAAGGGCGACGAAATCTGTACTTTTGCTCTCCTCTGAGATAGTCTCCTGGCCCAAGCCCTTCCGGTGCCCTTGTCCAGAGTATGGATCCCCCGCCCGCGCGCGGAGCCGAATGGCCCTGGCGCGCTTGGCGCGCCACGTGCTTGAGCTGAAGTGGCTTATCGTGCGCAAGGAACTTGGAGGACGACGACTGGTGCACTCCCTATCTCCTTCATCCCAGACGTTTAACGTAATGAGAAGCCGAAGCTGTACGATGTCGTTGCAGGTGCTCCGCCTATGTAATCTAGACGGTATACGCTGGTAAACGAGGATATAGAGAACTCGGTCAGACGATTAAACATCGATCGCCCAGCAATCGCGCGATAAACAACAAGATGAGACATGCAGATGATGAATACGGTAAAAGGCAATCCGACGCTACAGGAGGGCACCAGACGACAAACCGATAAAAGACGATAGAAAGCGATGCCAAACGATTTCGTGTGATAGAATATGTTTTAGGACACAGCGAGGCGATCCTTAGCGATCTAAGGCGATAAGGCGATATAGCACGACAGGACAGAGTATAAACTATAGCACGAGATAAGAACAATGACTCCTCCCCCGCTCACTACGAGCATCAAGCAACTTCCAGAGAGCAAGAAAAGGGGTGCCGAAGGCCATACCTCGAGGATACCTGGTTCGAGGAGGAGAGGGGGAAGAGAGGAGAAAAGAGGAGGACGAGGAGGAGACGCGTAGGAGGAAAATGGCGATGGTGGACGGTGGCAGAACAATCAGCGCGTGCTCACAAAAAGAGGGAGGGAGGAGGGAGAATAAAGAGAAGGAGGGAGACAACGATGAGGAGGAGGAGGAGGAGGAGGAGGAAGAGGCGGAGGAGAAGGAGGAGGAGGAGGATCACCGCCTGCTGAACCTGCTCCTGGTCCACCCTCGGCATCCTAATTTTTCCCCCTCGAGGGGGGGTAGCACCAGCAGCAGCCAATGGGCAGAAACGAAGGATGCAGGAAGCGGGAGGCGGAGGAGGGAGGGAGGAGGGAGGAGGGGGAGCACGGAGGGGGGAGAAGGAGTCGCAGGAGGGGAACCGGAGAAAAACGCGAACGTGGGGGAAGACGATCAGCCAAGTGCAGCCCATGAAACCCACAGGGCTTGCAGAGTTGATGGGGCCCAAAGGACCCATAGAGCCCCATAAGTCGTACCTGTGGCCCACCAGACCCACAACAGCGATGGGTCTCATTGGGCCCACAGGCTCATCGGGCCCAGCGGGTTCAGACGGCTTCCTCCCTTCCGTCCTCCCACTCCTACTGCCGACCAGAATGAGGACCCAGCCAAACAGACGCTCTAGTGGAACACGGAAACTGAATCGACCCGAATGACCCCGGATCGTGGAGACCAGACCACCCAGACGTCAGACGTCCCACCCTGCCAGTGCCGCCCCCGCAATGAACCAGACTCACGCTCAATCCCCCCCCTCGTTCCTCCAAGCCCTCTCTCCCTCCCTCTGCGCCTCTCCTCTTTTGATCATTGCTCCTCGTCCCCAACCCCCATGTTAAAAACAACATCGCGAGCATGGCGCACTTCCGCACGTAATAAATATGAATGTGGGTTTACGTCGTCCGTCCGTCCCATATTTTCCTCACTCGCATGCCTGCCCTGGGAAAACCACCACCACCGAATACTATACCGGACCGACGTTCCATTAAAATATAATTCCGCCATGCCAAGGCCGGCCCCGAAATAACCAGACCGACGTCTATCTAGAAATCAGCCCGGGTTTCAACCTCTCCCTCCTCGATCCTCCGACAACCCCCCACCTCCCTTCATACCCCATACCTCTCCTTCCCGTTCCTCGCTCCTCCTCTTCGGCCTAGCGAGCGGGACGGGTGATGCTTGCAAGGCCTGCAGGCCGTCAACAGGCCTCGGGGGCCGCTTGGCGCCGCTGACGAAGAGCACCGCGTTCCCGAGAGAGGTTGGCGTTCGTTGTCCCAGAAGCGGAAAAGCGCGCCGATCGACGCCCCCTAAATCTTTGGCGCCCAAGCCGAGGATGGACACCAATAGCAGTGGATAACATGTCAGAACTTCGACATGCTGGACCGCAATCGGCCCGCGCGGGGGGATTCCCTTCCGCGGTCGACTTTCCGGGCCCTGTGCGACGACCCGCGTGGGTTCCGGGCCCGGCGCTGGCTCTCAACAGGACTGCGCAGCGAGCGTGGGATACGACGCCAACGACTCGCACCGACAGCTCCACGCTTCCGCGGCTTGCTGGGCTCATCCTACAAGTTCCGCCCAAAGGGCGGCGAGTAGAAAATGAGAACCTAGAGGCGGCCGGCGTCTGCAGGCCCACACCCACAAAACAAGGAGGGACGGGCAGGGCGGAGGAGGGGGAGGAGCAAATTACGCACAAACGCGGACACGCAAAGAGAAAAACAAAGAGGGAACGGCAGAAACAGCAGGAAGCAAGTAACCGCGCGGGGGGCTGACGGGGGAGGTCGTCGGCGTCGGTGACAGGACCGTCGCGGTGTGCAGGCACTCGCCTAAGTCAAGTCAGGGCGCGGGGGGGCGGAGGGAGGGGCGGCGGCGGGGCGGGGGGCGGAGTCGTTGGACGGTCGGCTCACGCAGCGTGTGCTGCGCGCGCCGCCGTCGCCGCGGCCAACCTGGCTGCTGGCGCGTCGTGCGGCGCCTGCAGCCTGTGGAACACGGCCCGCGCGCTCTTCTTGTGAGCGAGAAGCGACATTCGCTGGACGGGCTCCGCCGCCACGAGGGCGGGAGGCTCCTCCGCGGCGTCCGCCTCTCGCTTTGCCAGGACGTCCGGCGCGCGGCGCGCCTCCTTGCCCCACGCGCCGCCGTGCGCGTCCATCACCATCGGAACGAAGGTGGTGCCAGCGGCGCTGCAACTTCGCGCTGCGTCGACGAACTGGCGTTGCTGCTCCACCTTGGGCGCGGCGACCGAAGCAGCCAAAAAGTTTCCGCGCAACCCTGAAGTGACCGCAAAATCCGGGGCCGCTGGGACGCCATTCCGCCAGCAGGAGGCGTAGACGTCCGTCAGGCGCCGACCGCCTGCGTCGAGTCCACCGCCGTCCTTGTCCGCCTCGGGCGGGTCCTCCCCCTGCGCGCGGGGTTGCAGCAAACCTGGCCGCTCGAGTTTGGCGCCTGGGAACGCCACAGTTTGCGCGGTGAAAAAGGTGTGGTCGCGGAGGGCGTTGTGTCGCTTCACGCGGTCCCCGCGGCAAGGGCACACCAGCGCGTCACGCTGTCGCAAGCGGGGCAGAAGGCATCCCAGTCCGCGAGCCGCACCCGCAGGCGCCTTTTCAGGGCGACCTGCACCAAACGGTGCGGGAAGTCAGTGTTCACCGCAGCGCAGGGCCGCGCCTGCAGCCAGCCGCCGGCGCACGGCGCGCTCACCAGCGAGAGGTGTGCTGTTGTGGCCAAGCAAGCTCGCTCCTGGAGCTTAGTCTTGGCAACGGCGTCCAGCTTGTCAGAGAGCCCGCGTTGGTCGGTGTGCTGGCCGACGTCAAAGGTTATCGGGTCCTCCTGCGGGTGCTGGACGTTGTAGGATGGCACGGCGACGGCGGCCTCCAACGCGCCGTCGTCGCCCGTGTCGTCGTCGGAATCGCCAGCCCGAAGCTACCTGCAGAGCGCGGAGCAGGCCGCGCGGGAGACCAAATAAGCGGCTGGCGCATGCCGCCCTACCGAGCGCAGCCCCAGGCCACCCGCCTCGAGGAAGAGCTGCGCCTGGGCCCAGGAGTCGTCTCAAGGGGTGCTGCTGCTGAGCTGCTCGAAGCAGGCCCGCACGTGGCTGTCCAGAGCACGCAGGGCATCCGTTTGCGCTACGGTCGAGACGACCAACGCCCACTCCTCCTCCTCCTCCTCCTCCCCCTCCTCCTCCTCCTCCTCCTCCTCCTCCTCCTCCTCCTCCTCCTCCTCCTCCTCCTCCCCGATGTTATATTCACTTCGCTACTCGTCCTCTATCCTCCTCTTCCTCTGCCCACACATGCCCACCAGACCCCACTCACAACACAACGAACGTTTCCAGCTTCAAGACAAACCAAGGATCCGCCACCGTGCCTCTGGGCACGGAGTGGGCGTGTCCTCAGGTCCTGTGCCCGACGCCTGGAGCCCCAGTCCTCAGTCCTGAGGAGTCTTTCAGTGGCCCAAAGCCCAACTTCTCAAATCTTCGGGGGCTTGGCGCGGTTCCACTTGGCTCGCCCGCGTCTCCCCGCGTGGCCAGTGGGGCCCAAGAGGGCCCCAAGACGGGACAAGAGGGCTCCAAGAGGTCGCCAACACGGCCAAGAGGGCCCCGAGTCGCCGAAAGATCGCTTCAAGACGCCCAAGACGGCCTCACGATGGCCCAAGAGGCATCCAAGACGCCCCAAAAGGCCTCCAAGAGGCCTCCGAAGAAGGCCCCAAGAGGGAGAACTCATATATTTCCCTTTGGTTGTTTGAACGATTTGGGCGTGATCGCATGTTCAGCTTTCCGACGCTCCAGGACGGCCCAAGAGGCCTCCCAGACCATCCCAACAGAAGGGCGACCACTTATTCCTGGTATGTAACATCTTCCACCATGCCCGACCAAAACACAACTCATATCGGCAGGTCGCAACCGTGTGCTGAAGGACGCAACGCCAAGCAAGCCAAGAGAAGGTTTCAACTATGTCGGCTCGAGCCCAAACGGCTTGGGCTACGGAGGCTTCA